GTTGAGAGGCATGCACTGAAAGTGAAGAAGAACGTTTTGGAATTGTGAAAAATTAGAAGTAAAAAGAAAGGAGTGAAAATGACAATTATCACCTGCCCTAGTTAGTTGTCTTCCCGCGCTGCATGGAGTGCATCTGGAGGTCCTACCGTTACCTGCCGTACCCACCATTAACTGTATTCTGAGTAGCAGCCGTTTTTGCTTGGAGTTGGCTAGCGCAGGCGCGGCGTTAACAAAATTTATTACGTAGAATAAAATAGTTGTACTACATATTCATTAAGTTTTGTTGGCTACTGTATATAATAAGTAGATGATTGAACAAGTTTGTCTTTCGCCTTTCTTTCTCCACGGAAAGCGCAGACGCGGCGCATTCCGGGTGGGAGCATTGAAGGCGATTAGTTTGCCGGCTATCATTCCATTTTCACGTTTTCAAGACCTTTCATTATTTATGAAATTCATTACATTATTATGGCATGTGCCTTAAAAGGTTTCAGTATGAGGCGGAGCCTAAAATTCATTCCACCTAGTCGAAACTTTCTAAAAGCAGGACAAAGTCATGCTCATCTTCTATGTCATGCTATAAATTCCAAGCCACAAACTCACCTCCCCCTCCCTTTCCTTTTCCCCACCTTCCCTTGATATAATTCTGTGGGAGTGGGGGCGAGTGATCTAAAACATGTGCAAGACCTCTTCCTGGACCCTCTAGCAGCTCGAAGGGTTTCAGTAATCCCAGGAATTCGGCGGTGTGTTCTATTGGGCTATTAGCGATTATTGGGTGCTACTTTCAGTTAGTTACTTATGTACCGTTCCCATGGGTAATCGGTTATTTTTCCTGTTTGTTATTTCTGTGCCAAAACAAGCAACGTTCTTCAAATGTTATTCGCCATCATCGCGCCACTTTACTCTGTTGTTTCCCTTGCCAGCTGATGCTTGCTTTTTTTCTATCAACAATAGCCAACAATCGTCATCTCCTCCGAGGATGATGGCCTGTCGGGCCGTCCAACCAGACTACCTCCAGACTACATTTATGGTCATTTTGCCAATAACTTCCGGTTGTTTTGTTCGATTCGAAGCTACGGAAGTATCATGGTGGGTACGCACGGCTTCCCCATTTCATAAGCTTATATTTCTGCCCATGCAAGGTCTTGTCGGTCCTCCATATTTGCCAACTAATTCTCTGTCGATAAACATTGCCGCTTTTGAAAATTGGCTGAACAGCTGCTCCTTAAATCTTCTGGACCCCTCTGGCTTACTTTCTTATTCTAAACATAACCAGATAAACCCAGAGTTTGGAAGGGTACACTTGAATGCCGATTGCATTTGAGATGTACCCGACTTGGGTGAACTCTCATTCCCATAGAAGAATATTTCATAGGGGATCTCTAGCTGGATGCCTCCAAAGCCCTCATCAGACTTGATTCCCAAGTTTCTTTTGGAATTTCGTGACCTAGCCGATACGGAACTTTTTTCTTGGTTTTTTGTTTCCCATCGCCGTTCTAGGAACAGAAATTCTGCATATATCCTATGAATTCACCGCAGCGAAAATTCTAGGAGTTCATTGTAGGGCGGAGCTTGACGAAAAAATGTGTGGTTTCTTAAAAAAGACCAATTTTTCATCAGTATGTTAAGGATGACCTCAGGCCTGTTCTATAGATGATCGAGTTAATGGGGCGGAACTACCCAAGATAATACGCTCCTACATTCCCATCGTTTTTATAAATATTCGATATATTCATGTACATCACAGGCCAGTCGATATGTGAGTACATCTGTCTGCTTTCTGTCACGAGCCAACCCTTCTCTCCGTCTTGGGTCTGTCGGTTCTGTACGGACTCGTCTAGGAGGATGAAAGCACTGATTATTAAATCAGCTCGAGCACACTACTTATTGGATCAATCCATCTTTCAAATGTTTCTAAAAATCTGAGCTAGAGTCAATTGGCTGGGCGCATCCTAAAAATGCAAAAAAACTCTTCCATTCGCCATGTCGAACTCATTCAATAATTCGGTGTTCGCTATTAAAGAGTTAATTTCAATAGTTAACCGCTCGGGAGCAGACAACACTTGCGAGACTATTTCGCTTTCGTTTTTCAATATGATGAGGTTGGAAGCGCGAAAAAACCCTCCCCAGATCAAGTCAAGAACAGGAGCCACGATGTCAGCGGATTTACTTTAAAGTTCTTAATCTAATACTGGTTAAGTAACTCTTATACAAAAAGCGACCATTGTCCTTGAAAGGGCATTCGTGGGGAATTCCATATATATTCTTTGTTCAATTCCTTCTCCACGAATGGCATCCAGTCTCTCCCTGTCGTCATGCATGAGCTGAAACAGAGAGCAGGGGTATAGCCTTTGGCCTCAATCAATCCCGTTTTTAAGGTTGCGCCACCCCATTTGACTTCCATTCAATCGTTGTGTCGTTTTGAATGCTTATGTGGCCTATACGGTGACTTATGGTGTCTAGCCAATCTACAACCAGGGCTTGCAGCTTCCTAGACTGGTCTGGTACAAAATAACGACTCGGAGGAATAGAAGGCTTGGTTGATGTGGGCAAGAAACGATCGTGGATCCAATCCTCGTACCATGTGGTTGTGGTAGTAAAAGGCCACTGAGTGGCCATGTAGGTACGGTACAAAACCTCAAAAAAAAAANAAAAAAAAAGAGAATCAACCTACAGTATGCCACCATAGTTTGTGAGCCTTCATCTAAATTCCGCTTTTTTGATGGGTGCTTCCCAGATTTTTCGTTGCACTTTTATGGTTGTTATTATTACTATTGTTATTTTTTCTATTATCTATTTTTTAATTGGCACCAGAATATAATAGGCCAATAATATATAAAAGGGCTTAATAGGGCTTTCTGGGAATTCAGTATATGTTCTGACACAAAGATAGTAACAATAATTGGTAGCAGAATATAATACACATTCGCATCGTGTACTGTGACTATATAACAGCAGTTAACAGAACATTAAGTCAAAATTATTGTCATTATTATTGTTGTCAATATTACTATTTTTCTTTTTGACTCGATTGGCATACGATACTGTCCATTTCTCCTAAGGAGTCCTGGCTCTGGATTACTCTTACTTTTTTGGAACGAGTACTTTTTGAGTTGGCAACATTCTTAGTCATCTCAGAGTCTATTTAGTGCTTTCCGGGAATACCGTATATATTCTGGTCTACTGAATGACCTTTTGGAGGTATCGTGTCCCTTTGTGGGTCAAGAGAGCCAATACACCGAAAGAAAAAGAGATGAAGAAGTTTATTCCAGAAATTGGTTTCGGCCCATCAGAGATTTTACGCCTCTGAAATGAGCTTTCTGAGCTACTCCCACATTACTTAAAATTGGTCGAGGGATATTAACTTCGTTCTCCTTCGTTGTTGACGAAATTTCTGCAGCCACGCGTTTGCAGAGCCGCATTTACTACTGCCATATTACTCGACCCTTTCCAACTGTTTCTGCAGGGTGCAGTTGACTAGGTGCTGTAATAAGCACTGAATTGGATAGAGCATTCCCACCTGATTGACGCTTTGTGTTGTGTTTTCTATAATTTGTTTTTCTTTATTCTTGTTTTGTTTTCATTTTTTTTCGGAAAAGTCGCTCAGTGATAACAAGTTCCTTTTTGTGGTTCTTATTTAGTTGTTTACTTCTCAATCGATTACGTTGTTTTTCATTTTCATTACGATCCTTTCTCTCTTCCTTTGGCCTAAACTGGACTGAGTGGAGGGCGAAGGCAAAGTTCGCAGAGGATTTCCGTTATAGAAAGAAAGGACGAGTTTGGCGACCCTTCAGAGGCCGCTACTATTCGTTTTGGAGCACGTTTGCTGTAAAAGTCTTCACGTGCTGCACGCCAATACGCCTAACACGCGTTGCTATGAAGCGTCTGATATCTCGTCCAAACTCCTTTATTGTTGTCAGACTTTCTTTATTCTCATAAACGATTCAAGAACTCAGCTGATTCTCTCTTTTTTCATCTTCCGTGGCTATTCTACACCAACAACCTCCCCCCCCCCCCCCCTATATTCGGTAAAGGCAAATAGAACTAATGCAGAGTTCACCTTCTAATTGACGTGGTCATTTTAAGTAGGCTGTTCCCAAGATAGTTATTTCAAGCGAAAAGAACAATGGGGGTTTTCTTATCCACCTGTTGCCCTTGAGGTTGTGCCTTAGCCCCTATGAACTTGTGGGATTAGCCTTACGAAATTGTACTTGATAGCAGCCTCAGGTCCCTTAAAGAATGCCACGCCCTCGACGTTCACTGTCGTCTGAATAGAAGGGGTCTATTAATGGATGTGGCTACAAAAGGCCAAAGCGGGGAGAAAAAGCTCTTTATTGTTTTTTATTCAGTTCTTCTCTCGAGAGTACCCACTGCAATAGCCACCGGCTTTATTCGATCACTGTAGAGAACTCTTCACAGAGTAAGAGAAGCGCTCCTTAGACTCAATGAAAGCTCTTTTAGAGGTCTCTCACAGCTTTTCATTGGCAATGAAAAATGCCCACAGAAATGACGACAATCCCCATTTATAGAAGACTTTCTGGGAAATCTGCCGATAAGCCCAGCCGAACTTCAAAGAAACTCCTTTTTCCTGAGCAATCCATATAACTTTAGCAAATGTAGGACTACCAACACATTTGATGAGAAGATTAGTAATGATGGATTCTTTGATGATTACGCCATGTTCCATTTCTTTCCTGGTATTCACAAGGAACTGTCCTTGATTGTTTCCTTCTTTTTCCTCTCCCCACTTCCCTGCACATCTAACATTTTGGCCCTAAAACTCATTCGGAAAGCATGATACGATGGCCAGCTGAAGACGGGCACTTTTTATTTGCTGCATTTCCATAATCAACGTTCCTCTGAGCAATTCAGTGAACTTCTACTCATTTATCTGGAGCCTATTAATTAGTAATAGTTTTGGCTGCAGAGATAAAGGCCCATTGCAAATCTCAGTTGGCCCTGCAACTTGCATTGGAGGGCGATACGAATTTGGTTGCATTTATGATTCCAGCAGCCTTTCGCTCTGGTATTTTATTGAAACCGGTCCGACACATGTTTTTCGTACTTGTTTGGGTTTGATATTTGTTGTCCAAATAACATTTCCAGCCTTTTTTCTTAGGTGACCGTTATGGACTTCTCCCACATTCTCTATTACCCTCTCTCGTACGAGCTCTCGCAATGAAATATCCATTTCTCCTTTTACTTGTTTCTCAAAACCCTTACATTGACTGGGATTCCCATGGGTCCTCAGCAGATTTGCAGCCTAATTTTTGTACTGCAACTTCCTGATCAATGAACCTTGCTGCAAAATGAGAGAGTTGTAAAACAACGAAATCTGAGAACTCAAAGCTCAAGTGCTTCTTTTTTTGTAATTCACATGCTCATGTTGCTTTGAGCTTTGCAGCCGACTAGCCCAAACTGTCACCAAGAGGTCTTGAGGATGATATATTTAGTATTTCTTCATGAATCGAACGATTTCAGAACTTTCCCAAGGTCATCGAGGTGACTTGGGCACTGGGCGAATGCCACCTCTCGCTTGCGCCCAGACGCCTGAGCTGTACCCAGCGACTATCGCACAAGTCGCAGCACCGTACACCGCACCGCTCGTGGGCTCCGTGAAAATCATTGCGAGAGAGACAGGCGCACACTCACCGCTTTCCTTCTCTCCTGGCTGCTTTCACAGTCCCCCGGCCAGCACTAGGACGACTAGTAACAGGTACGGTACTGATCTTGACTAGGTGCGATTTAGGGGCTCGGCTCGACGGCCGAGTTCACTCTCCATATACTGGACACGCCGGTGAGCCGAGACCAGGCCCACCCCTAGGCCTGAATGGGGGAAGCAAGAGCGACTAAAAATAAGGTCATACTGCATTTCTAGCCTAAGCCTATCTTTGTGGGTGAGTAGCCCACTCGTTGCCCTAATTCCCATTTCTGAAGAATGATTTCCGTGGATTTCTCATCGGCTGTGAGCCTCCAATTTGCGAACTCTTCATTTTGGGCTGTTAGGAGTAGTTCGTCCCGTTTTTGATGTTAGAAGCTATAAGGTTAAAGGTACAGTAGCGCTCGAAAGTCTTCGGTGAAATGGTTCTTCAGCCGTGCTTTTCAGCCGTGTCTCCTTTCCTACTGGATTTAATAATGCGAAATTTCTGTATTTGGAGCATGGGTGTATCGTAAATCGAAATTTCTATATTTGGAGACTGTATCGTGAATATTTACCACTATTAAC